CTTTATAATTATAATTGACTTCACTGCCTCGACCATTATTGGTCTGTAATCCCTGGATTGAGATCTGTTGGCTGCAGTTTAATTTAGCTCATTTACCATAATAGTAATACCGCAGTGCAGTGGTTTGGTTCGCATATATTTTCCCATCGTATGATAATGTGTGTCATTCCCTCGTTTTTTTATCAATTGGTTACTGGCTGTCTCTTTTGTTGTTACAGCTGCCTCGACATCTTATCTAGGGCACTAATACATTAGTACTAGAACATTAGAACTGTAATTCTAGAACTTCAGATTAAGATTTCTTGGCCGAATGGCAGGGTTCGAGATTCGAATCTAAAACGTTCAGTTTAGGAGTGATTAGTAGATAACAACTGTATGGTATGGGAAAAATCCAACTAGTCAAGGATCATGCTGAATCAAAGTGTTCCTCGACTTGAACTTAAGTCTTGTAACCTATTGGAGTTTGGGCCACTGAACCGAATACGACCTGATATTAATTTTAGGATGTCGGGAAATTCATTAAGATTTTTATTCTTTGGTTTTTCAATTGTGCTACGAATCCGAGTTTGAGTTGATAACACCGAATTTCCTGTTTGACTCTCAAAGAGAGGAACCAAGGCTTAGGTTCCTCTTTTTGGCTCTGAGATCCAACTTTAAGATCGGACTTCGGAGATCCTTGCGTCGGAAATCATGTAAGTGTAACATCAGTACCGGAGATCAGACTTTTTTGCTTGATATTGGACTTTTAAATCTAATTATATATTCGAAACAGCACGGGAATTAAACAGGAATTAAATTAAACAGGAATTAAACATGCACGGGATGTAACCAAGGTTAAGTGAGATGAGATATACCAGCTTTCGGGGTTACAAAACCCCATGAAAGGCAGGCATAGCATCCTAAATCCTCAAGCTATCCTCACGTTGACCATCTAGGTCCAGACTCCAGCCTCTCATTAAAAACCAGCTATTAGTATTAGGCCCGAGATCCGTAGTGTCCCGTAAGTAAGAGATCGTTCAGATTTTGATCCCCTCCCCGCTCTAAAGTCCACTTTACCCAAAGCTGGAAAAATTTCACATGTGAAACCTCAATAGCTAAATCAGCATCTCGAGACCTTCTGTTATACAGGGTGGGCCAAAAGTCAGTACCCATACGTTGGGTCTTATACCTCCGCCGTGTTTTATATTTTAGAGTTGTTGCTTTGCAGATGGCATGCTGTACCTACTTGTTCGAGGATATATATATATATAGCCCATGCCCCAGATAAGATCTTGAGGCAGCTCACAGCTATAATAATAGAAGAACTAGCCAGTCACCACTTGATTAAAAAACGAGGGAATGACACGCAATATCATTATCATACGATGGGAAAATCTATGCGACTGAAAAAAAGAATATGTGGTCATTCTGAAGTGGGAACCAAACCACTGCGGTATTATAGGAAATTAGCTAAATTTAACTGCAGCCAACAGATCTCAATCCAGGGATTACAGACCAATATTGGTCGAGGCAGCGAAATCAATCATAATTATAAAGTGGGGTACTGGTCAGCGGTCAAGCAACAGTCTGGCCCGGATCCAGTGCCGATTTATTTTAGGCCCGGTATTCTTGGTACATATATCATGGTTTCATGGAATCAGGAAATAAATCAAAAGTTGAATTCTGGTCATTACATTTTGGCTAAATTGGTGCCAATGAAAATTAATTGTTGGAGTTTTCACAAATCATGCAGTAGTTAAACTTATTTACTGATGACTCCTAAAGTGAGCGTTTTTCAGTATAACTATATGACGTGCATGAGTCGGCAATTGCAAACAATTCGCTGTTAGCGGCCGATCCTTTGACCTTAAGAAACCGTAATTTTGAAAAATTGCCCTTTCGTAAGACACAAATATGCTGCTGGCTTGGCCCATTATGATTAAGAGAGATGCCCAATAAAGTAAATCATTCTCCAATTTTTGTAGGAGTTTCTGGACACAAAGTGAGTCATCTTACATCTTGTGACAAATGTTGCTCATGAGTCTTTAAGACCTTTCTAGTTAACAGTCCAATAGCCCATTTGTGAATATTGTCATTTTTCGCTCGGCAAAAATCCGTTTTTCAGCCACATTTCCGAAAATAAGCCTTTTAGGGTATATGTTGCTTCATAAGTTGTATATCAATATGGCCATTAGGCACATTTTGGTGTATCGGAATAGTCTTTAAGACCTTCCTGGGCTGAAATGCCAAAAATCACGGAAATTATGAACTGCGTCAAGCCAAAAACCGTTTTTCGGCCATATTTCCGAAACGAAGCATTTTAAGGTATATGTTGCTTCATAAGTTGTATATAAATGTGGCTATTAGGCACATTTTGGTGTATCGGAATAGTCTTTAAGACCTTCCTGGGCTGAAATACAAAAATTCGACTGACCGCGAAACCCTGAAAAAGGGTGTGGCCGAAAACGCCACTATTGCATTTTTTTCAAAAATGCAATAGTGTCCAAATGTTTTAAGAATCATCTAGAGAGGTGATAACCGTTGAGAAATCGCTTTTAACACGAAAAGCTAACGAGATAGCCTTTTAGAACGGTTGGGATCCGACTAAAATCCAAGTTTTATGCGCGATAAAACCACACATTCAGCCGATATTGGTTATTTAAACAACCGCTATCTATTCGTTCTTAAAGTAGGATCTCGCATCAAGCATTACACTATGCGCGCCAAGCTATATTTTCTATATTTTGATCGTGTTTAACACTCAGCTCACGTTCAAAGAGCTGTGAAATTTCTCCTTCGTTGTGTAGCCATTGCATCGGCTTATTTGTTCTTGATCTTTATTGCTCATGAAATACACTTTGAGTGTCTTTTTACAGCTTTTTTAGTACGTGTTCATCAACTACAAAGTTTATAGGAGTTTTTATTTTCCTGCATTGATAGATTTTCTCATTTTTTCTTATACATTGAACACTGAGCTTGAGTGTGCCCAAGTTTTCTTTCAATAACACCCAAATTAGTACATTGCATCGTAGACTTAACAGGGTTAACTGCACATGTCTGATGTTTTCAACTCTCGCTGTATTGACTTTAAAGGTGTCAAAACGTCTATTTCTGTGTTACGGAATGTCTCATTTTTTTGTCTAGTATGTCTACCGCAACTGATATTTGACGCTGAATTTGTAGCCAACGAAACTATTACAAGTGTTATTTAAATACACCAGGCTTGTATTTATTTTTACTCTTTAAAAATACATGTACTAAATCAAGCTTGCAGCCGGCACAAAAATAGTAGCACTTAAATAGATTTTAATGTTCATAATGGCTCTCAAAACCTCCTAATAACGCACTATAATCTAAAATATCCGCCACATATTACGGAGAAACTCTGTTATATTCCAGCTATTTGATACCCATTATCCCTCTGACTCTCCAACAAATCCTATATTTGATGGTAGTATAATGCGTGCCCCATTAGCTGCTGCTGGTATATTACTCTATATAACACACCTGGTGTTCATACATACTGAGTTTTACACGGGTAACTTTATCATAGTTTTATTGAGTTGTAACTGTGGGGCGGCGACTGTTGTGTCTGTGATCTTGTAATTTAGTTTCTTGTTTGCAGTTACACTTTGTTGTCTAGTTTAGGTTATGTTGGGTGAGTTTTAATTTAGTTTACATTATTTTGAGTTGGTTAATTTAGTTTGGTTAATCTATGGTTGTGTTTTCAGTTTGTTGTTTTAATGTTGATAGGGTGACGGTACTTTGTGCACTACGTTATACGATTAACTTTAATCGTGTTTAATCGATTAAAAACGTCATAATTTTACGAGGGTACGTGTTTGTGTGTGAAGGGAACATTATATGTAACGGTTTCAGTAAGTTTCAGTTTGACTATAACTCAAGTAAATGTAAATTTATTCACTTTTATCTGTAATAATTTACCTGTAAATTTTTGGCCTTAGCTTTTACTCTGATTAACACACCAAAGTCTATAAGGAATGTTACGTAACACACATATCATTTTTCGTTGAACTCTTAATAGTTTTGTGTCAGTTTTCGATTCTGAGCATGATCTTGTAAAATCACAAATAAGTTAATATTCAATAAGTTGTATTTCAATTCCTTAATTTACGCAGTTTGACATTCTTGGTCGTTCTTGACCGACGAGACCCTGTGTTTTCTATAATATGCTATTTTTAGAATTTGGACTTAGGAGGCTGTTTATAATCTACGTGACCTTTTTCTGATACATTGTAACTAGTTCTATTTAAAACTGATAAGGCTTTCGTTCTTTTCAAGATTCATTATAAATTGACTAATAACCTCGAAAACTCATGCCCGCAAGTTATATCGCTTATAGAAAATTTACATTCCTCAAGTTGCCTCGTTGTTCTCCGTCTACTGTAAGGCCGTCGAGCAGATTATTCAATTTCCCGCCAAAATCTACGGAGAGTAACTTTCTAGAGTTAGAAAGGTGACTCTACATATTTTAAATTTCGTCATGTAGACTTAGATCATATTCTGTTTTAGACTGACAATTGTCTTCTTCTGCAAAATATCATGATTCGGTTTATTCGTAGGGTGTTTCCGGTTCTTAAATCTTTATTCGATTTGCTCCATTTGAAATGCACTTGCGCAAGGTGCAGCTTGATATTTGCTAATTTCTCTTGCGAAATTTGCTCGATTTACGCAATTTGACCGATTAAACTCAATTTACTCATCTTGTTTTACACAGTAGGACCTAAAATGACGGGTGAAATTATTGTAATTCAACCTCCACCGGACCATTTGGTGTACGTTACTTGTCAGTTTGTTTTTCAGTATGTGTGTCCGTACCTGTTACAATTTTACTTTTATCATTTACACTTCTGTTGAAATAAAATTTTCAACGATACTGCACAATTTTATTCAATTTTCCGGCTCAAAAAGAAATTCCCCAACAACAACAAAAATGACAATCGATAGCCTCTGAATCTGTAAAATATTTTAACACCTGATTGACCTCCAACCCTCCTCAGAGAGTCACGACAGAGACAACGACGCCGGAAGCGGAAGAAGCAAACCATGAAACCCCCAATGCGGTGTGGGTCACTGAGCAGCATGACAGAGTCAAGCTCCTCCCTCAATATTATCACGGTTACGTTAGACATGGAGGCTTGTTCCTTCCTTGGGTTTAGCATCTACAGTAACTCTGATGATAGTGGTGAGTTGCAGGCAGATTGATAAGTTGTTGGGCAGTTACCAGGACGGTTTTTTGGGTTTAAACTGCTAAACTGCAAGATTTGAGTGTCATTCATCAGTTTCTTATAGAGTCTAATCAATTGATTTCAGGATTAGGAAATTGAGATGACATAAAATTCTTGACATTCTCGACTAATTCTTGTCATGCTTAACCTAATCATTGGACTAGTTATTATGGAAAAACATTCCTTTCGTTTATACATTTTTCGATTCAAATGTTACATATTATCATGTTCACGCCCATACTCTTTCATATATATTACATTTCAAGAGCACCGCCAATTCGTCTCATAATATTGAAAACAGTTAAATAGTTAAAACCACACATTCCACGACCGCACTATCGTTGTAAAGCCTCGTCGTGTCTGTGGTTTGGCAACGCCTTTAAACCAATTCACGAACAGTTTTAACTTAAGGGCACGCTCCAGTGGCATGACTGCCGTAATATTTCATTGTAGTTAACATGTTTAGTGTCTTCAAAATGTAGAATGCACTAGAAATAGTAAAAAGAATGTAACGTTACATTCCACAGCGATGCCGGGGATCTACGTGGGGCAGATATACAAGGGTGGAGCAGTTGAAGCAGATGGTAGGATATCTCCAAACGATCTTATCCTGAATGTTAACGAGATCTCGTTTGAGAATATTGGTAATGGAGATGCAGCTAGGATCTTGCAGGAGATTGCCCAGAAACCTGGACCAATTAAACTTGTTGTCGGTAAGTTCCTGATTTAAGGTTTTTGCTTTTTTTGGTACTATTTAGTTTAATCTTTGTACTTGGCAGAACTAGCTTCTCTCTCTAAGCCAGAATTTGCGTGGTTTTCTCGGCAAAAACCGATAAGTTTCATCGCGAAAACAAACTTTGGATGCCATTATAGAGATTCGAAATTAGTAGGTTGGTGTTAAGGTCATACCTGGTCATAAATCTCCAGAGAAGTTTGTCGAATTTAAATAGCAGCGAGCCTGGCTAAATGCAAAATATCATTCATCTCACACTCGTAGCCGCCGTTCAATATATATTATTAATGCTTGATAAAAATCCAACATGATCTATGCTGCTATATATTGGCGTTAAATCGCTTTTAAGTTTCATACACATTTAGTAGGTCGAAGCTACTTGCACATATTTATTATTGCTTACTAAAATTTAAAGAATTTGACCATTAGACATTTAAGGAGCTGAGTTTGCTCGGGTTTGCCAAGTTCACGAGATATTTTGTTTGGTACTTTATATTGTTTGAGTTGATTTTCTCTTCGATTTCTATCCTCAATATTTAAAAGTTTGCAAGTTAAAACGATCCATTTAAAATAGTGATTTCACTTCAATTTCCGCTAAGACTGTTTTGATTTACGACGGCGGGGACGCTCAAAGAGCTGACCTCATGCTCTTTTTATATCTCAAGACGAAAATAAACACGAACACTTGAACATTTCTCAAGCAACATGGCGCCTTTGTATTATAGTATCTGTTACTCTTTCTAGGTTATATCAAATTATTCATGACATCTGTTCCGTAAGTTTTATTCGTCGTATTTTCAGCAAAGACAAACAGGGACAGTATGGTTGACTTACACGAATCTGACTTTACTGACGCCGACACCGTTTCCATAGCCAGGTAACCCTTTGTTAACTTAATTTGTGCCTTTTGTCGCTTATCACTTTAAGCTTATCGCTTCAAAACTTTTAAACTTTTAACCATTTTTTGATTCAATGAAAGAAAGTGTTTATTGAATTTATACCGGTTTTTCTATTTCCAAACAAAATTATGGTGTAAAAAAACACTTCACAAAATATTTTTGCGTGAAGAAGATCCAAGTTAAATTGACAACAAATCTTCTCGTCTCATCACCCATCCTTCCCTATCTTCAGCTCCCATACTACTTTCAGCTACACTCTGGACCCCACAGCTCAGTGGATCCAACAGCAACAGAAAGGGGCCGGGAACTTTGGGTTTAATTTTAATGAGGGTAGTTACTACCCGACCAGTTATAGTCTGTATTCTACCACTGGCAGTGAGTCTCCGGCTAACTCACAGGTTTGTTTTTCTGGGCAGGTTTTATAAGTTAATTTCAGTGTACTACGAGATCATTAGTGGTTAAATTAAAGATAAATATAGCACGCACAAAAATAGTATTCGGACAATTATTACACCCCTATTTTTATGCTAAAATACCAATCTCAAATTCCTAACATACCTCCTCTCCCCAGATAGGGGGAGACACGATAAGAGGTCAGCAGCAACCAGCACAACCACTCACGGTTTACAGTAAGATGGAGGATGTGGCTCACACAATGGCACAACCAACCTCGGGTAAATACCACCGTTACACGCGCTTTTGTGGACTGTTTACCAGTCTGTACATTAAGTTTAACATTGTGATTATAATAATATGTGGATGTAGTTAGTAGTATGTAAAGAATGTGGCTGACATCTATATTAATTCATAAATTACAATTTTCATCCAGGGAATTCACTGTAAAACATGAAATACCTCACATATCTGCCTCTTTAAACCCTTACTCGACGTTACGCAACCGGCACAAGATTTGTAACCCTCACTCGCCAACTCTCTTGAGAGATCTAGTTACTTAATAGCCTGAGAACTTCACTAAAATTGACACATCAACACTTTCCTTAACACTGAACTAATCAGGAACATAATATTATGTTCTTGGGATTTTTTACCGCATTTGGTCTATATTTACTTCTTTACTTCTCTTTACTTCAAAGAAAGGGCTTATTCGCTAGGGACTACTTATTCATTTCACGTCTAAACAACGGTCGTATGGATTGTAATTGCTATGTATAACTTGCGTATTATCTATAAAACGAGCTGTATTAGGCGGTCTAGATAAAAATCAAAGGGCCTGTTTTTAAATAAACGATAACTGTGGTTATTTATAGAAAAGAGACACATTAAAGTATAATAGTAGGAAGGAACCTGGCGATGATGACAATGTTTCATATCTGACCCAACACTACATCAGGCTTGGAGATAAAAGAGAGAACTTGGTTAAAAGTAACGATACCGGACGCCTTTATTGGCCAGGATCTGGTAAAGTGGCTAAAGGAACACATTTCGGTACGTTATTATCATAATCCTTTATTTTTCCTTGAATTGCACTTAATAGTGATTTATTGACCACTACAATCTATAATCTGGTTTTGCGAAATTACTGCACTAACTGTGCACTAAATATGATAATAATAATATGCGGTTTGTTATTTGTATAAATAAAAAAGATCTGTATGAACTAAACTACATTCTATCAAATTATTGAATTCCACATTACTTGCAACTATAATTTAATTATTAATTATTAATTGCGAATAAAAAGTAACATTCTCTCATTACAACAGGGGCTATCGGATCACAAAGAAGCACGGCGCTTTGCCAGTAACATGTTAAAGAACGGTTACATCCAGAACACTGTCAATAAGTCAGAGAAGTTCAGTGATCAGTGTTATTACATCTGCGGTGACGGCAGCAAAATGAAAACAGCCAGTGCTGACCGACTGCAAACTGACATGCAAGGTATGTGTGCTGATTGACATGCAAGGTGTGCACGTGGTGGTATTAAAAAACTTTGCTTTGATTCTAGGATAGTTTGGATAAATTATTGTTTATTGCCAAGGTTTTGCATCTGCACTCAGCAGTAATCTATTATGCACATTTTGATTCTTGATTTGATTTTGTTACAGTTTTAATGTCTTTGGTTAATCTGCATTCTTATCATAACTCATCCAAATTCTTCACACTTCTATAATTTCAGGTCTATCAATCGAACCAACACAATCACATCGTTCCTACAACAGCTGGGCTGGAAAAGCGCAGTCAGTTCGCAGTCAGGGCTCTGCCGGTACCATGTCATCCTCCTCGCCCCGTTCAGCGCCGCGCGGCATGGTCGCACCACGACCTGGTCCCGGCTCATCCGGCTCCGGACCACCGTCTTATCGCACAACTCAACACGGACAAAAGGGTGTGGCCCCACCTCCATCATACCACTCGTACACGTCCGGCAAGCCCAGCAGTCAAATGTCCGGATTTGCGCCTCACGTCCAGATGCCACCTCAACCTGCGCCGGGCGCACCACCCGCCGGACCACTATCTAGAACAGACAGCATTGCGTCACTTGCCAGTGTTTACAGTCAGCACTCCATGATGGGCCGGCCACTTGGCAGTATGCCAGCTAGTGTAGCCAGCAGCCAGGCCAGCTTCAGGATGGCTATGGACAACTCTATGGAGTATTATAGTGACGCTGTTTGAACTAGCTCAGGCGCTTAAAACGCTGTTTGTGCTCAGTTTAATTAGGTGTTAAAGAGAGATACAGGATTCACTTGTAATAATTGTTGGGGAAGATTTTTACAGTGCAAGAAATGTTCGTTAAAGTACCAAGAGTACGTGATATTTATAATAGCAAGGGCTGAACTGACACGTGGAATGTGGTGGAATGTGGCTATCATAGTTACAGGCCCCTGACATGAACGGTTTGGGATATCTGCTAGACTTCAATTTGGGTGTGAAAGGAATCTGAATGATGTTGTGCTCTTCACTTAAACTGAATCTCTTCACTCATAACTCCTGTTTTCCGGTGTTCCAAAGTGCGTTCTGGAATGCTGACTTTACTGACTATATCATCTACTTCAGATTATCATACATAATTACCTATTATGGATTTTGTGCTGTTTATGCGACGATGATCGTGCACTACTGCAGAGGGTCATTATTTATCAAATGTGGTAATTAATTATGATCAATTAATGGAAAATTGACCGGGTCATATTACCTTGTTCATAAACCACGTAACTGTTCATACAATATTATACAGTATACACTAGAAACTTTTTAAACTAACCTTTTAAGAAAACTTAAATTTATATAATGATTTTGTGCCATTAAGTTTTGAAATTTTTCATTTAAAAGTTCTGATTATTTTTTGCTATGAGGCAGTTTCGAACTAAACCCGTTAAAAGATATTGTAATTTACCGAGTAGACTGTAGAATGTAGATACACTTGTTGAAACTTGAAACTTAAAAACCCTCACAATTCGAATAATAATACATGTTATTTAGTTATTATTAAGAAAATGTAAATAGGAACGAAGTTGACAATTTTACCTGGTTTTTGAGCCCATTTAATTCATTTAAATTTCTCGAGTATGAATTGAATTAGAAAGGTTAAGGTTAACTTTGTTTGATTTAATTGGATATTAAAAACAATGCATTTTTGAGTGGCTAACAATTTTGATACAATAACTTTGCTCGAATAATTGAATTATGAGGTATGAAATTTTGAGGTATGAATTTTTTGGATGTATTAAGATATTTAGGCTTATAATGATATATAATATTATTGTTACAGTATTAACTGGTGTGTGTGTATAGTTATCCAGGCGACTGTTCAGGGGTTTTCCATTTCTGTTGTTTTCTGTCCGATTTATTATCAGTTCAATTTTTAAAGGTTTTCAAAATTTATTTTTCATCTCCGCTCTGTCCATCTGTACTGTTGATAGGATTATCAAAATCTAAGTTTAAAGTCGAACTTACGGAAGCATTTTTGTCCAATTATACCTGAAATATGTTGTATGTAGCAGAATTTTAATGACCCGAAAATTTAAAAGTTTGTAGTCCGAACTTTTTTGGTAGCGCTCAGTTTTTCAAAGACTTTTAGCCAAATTTTTAGAAAATGTTAAACTTAGAGATTTATCTGTAGATTTGGAGGTTTTTTTTCTTGTGATACCATGTTGATGTTTTAATTTTTATATCGAAATACATTATATCATAACATCAGAATTTATATAACTCCGAAATTAATATTGTTTCATTGTCTGATTATATCTTTTCACATACAAACGACAAATTGGTTGCGCTCTTTTAAGATTTACTAAGTTTTAAAACACAAACGCCCTATGTCTTCCCAAAATGGGAAGTTTAAAATATCGTAACCCTGATTCCAAATCCAAACCGAGCCCTTACTGATATAAGTATAAATTTTAGAAAAGATACATTGAATGTAACCACAGTAGATGACTTGGTTAAACAATTAAATCATCTGCCGATAGCATGATCTTTATTAGCTGTATTAATACAATTATGAATGACAAAATTATCGATGCACTATTAAACAAGAGTCAACACGTCATTAATATTATAGAATGGAATCATATTTCTAATAAAATGTCCATTAAGTTTTTTAATTTTGCTAATTTCTTCTAATTTTGCTCCTGTCTACTGTATATTATTACTACTATTTATATCTAGCTCCGTATCACATGTGGAACTCACATCCCTCCTTTATGATCAGTTCACCATGACAGAATCATATATACTGGATCAGTGACGCCATATCAGACTAACTTCCATCATTTTGACCTTGTGCTCCTTTACCACTTTCACCTCCGGCAATGACAGAATTTGAGGGCGTCGTCACCAGTGCATTCTCTTCTTACGGCATCATAGACGATGAAATTTACTTTGACTACAAGATTGTCATCGGAGAGATTCCCGATAAAGGATGTAAAGTGCGGGGTGTCAAAGTGCTGAAAGGTGACAACGCTTACAACGCTACATCAGTCCAGATCGTGGAGGGAATGTCCCTTGAGAGGAACGAAGTGTCTGGTGAACTGGACAAGATAAGGGGAGAGTTTGGGTATGTTAACGGTGTACCAATCAAGATAGAACATTGTGTACCTCGGCCTGTAGAAGGTGATCTGTTGAATGTTCTGACTGAAGAATTTAACGGTATGGTGATTGGTAAATCAGTGTCTCACACACGAAAGAGACGGTTTACATCTCACGTTCTCCGTGTCACACCCAAAATATGTGAGCTTGAAGAAAACTCGTACTTCCTGAGAAGTTTATGTCCCAGAGGGTACAACCCTCAACCAAACGATATTGTTTGCGGAGTAGCTGTGGAGTGTTTCTACAGGAATCTCACAACAATTTACAGTTGGCGGGCAATAGAGATCAAACAAACCAGCATCACTCTAAAAGGGTTAAACGAAGATCTCCTGTTGTATCGTCTTCCTAAGTTTTGTCTAAGTTACGTCGCTAGAGAGTGTGATAGAGGACAGAAGGAGGACAGCATTAGTTGTACTCCTCACGCCCTCAGAATAGGACACCTCAATCCTGGAGACACAACTCAGCTACAGTTCACTCTGAAGAACAACTCCGAACGTATCCTATTCGAACTGGGTAACATATCAGTGTCAGATACCAGTATTCTAAACTGCGGGACACCCTTCCCTCGATATATCTACCCTCAGGCAACAGAGGAGATAACACTGGGTCTCGTAAACCCTGATATTGGTCAGCACACTACAACTGTAATCTTCTCTTTATCTGTTAATAGTAAACAGTTCAACATATGCCGTAGAGTTCATGTTAATGTAATAGCACCTAGAACTAAGAAATGTTTGAGAACAAGGGTTGATGAACCGTTTTTGGAGGGCTGCCAAATCATTCCGGGCTTTAAACCGGCAAGAACAAACCCTAGATTCTATCCTCAGCATTTTCCTGTGTATGCTATACCAGAGGATGTTGAGTCAACATCTGAGGACCGAATCCTTGCGGAGGAGCTCAAGAAGAAGAACTACAAGGTGATAATGCACAAGTTGTTATACATGGAAGAGAGATTTGTTGAGGAAGAGATGAAACATTATTCAATCTACGAAACAAGTCTGATGAAACGAGGAAGGTTTCTAGTCTTAAAAGTTCCTAATTTAGTTGAATCAAAGCTGAACATTCTAATCGGACATAGAGTTGTTCTTGAGCATGAAAACAACACTGTAAAGTATGAGGGTTACATACACAAGATTGCTGATAGAACAGATGAAGTCATGCTCGGTTTTGATGAATCATATCACAACAGCTATGCAGCTGAATCTGTTAATGTACATTTCTCTCACAGCAGGACATCCTTCATAAGATGCCATCTCGCTATCGACTACATCTTTCAGATCAAAGCTGAAGGTATGCTGTTTCCTGAAGATGTAAATGTGAGACCTCCTCACTTCAATGTACCTAGATTGGACCTCTTTAATAAATCATTGAACAAGGAGCAAGCCTGGGCCGTTCTTCATATGATTGAGGCAAAGGCGAGACCAATTCCTTATCTTCTCTTCGGTCCCCCAGGTACTGGCAAAACAGTCACAATAGTAGAGGCTATCCTACAGATCTTTCACCTGCAGGATGATTGCCGGATTCTTGTAACTGCACCGAGTAACAGCGCGTGTGACCTGATTGCGCAGCGCCTTCTCCAACAGTCTAGCCAGTTAGATATAGTGAGACTCAACTCAATGTCCAGGTTCACAGAGTCCCTTCCAGAAGAGCTACAAGCTATCTCCATGCCAGCTGATGAGGTTAAAGAAGCAGCTTTAAAACGTATCATTGTCTCCACGTGTGTAACTGCAGGGAACCTCTACAAATTACAACTCAGAACATCACATTTCACCCATGTTTTTATCGATGAGGCGGGCCAGGCAATAGAACCTGAGGTCTTACTCCCAATCGCTCTGTCCACTGGACCGGGAACTCAAGCAATCCTTGCAGGAGATCCATACCAATTAGGTCCGGTTATCAAGAATGGACAGTGTGAGGATCTTGGTTTGAGTATGTCGCTTCTGGAACGGTATATGAGTTGTGATGTGTACGAACGCAAGGAACAGTTCAGGGATAATAGCTTCTATGACCCAATCCTGTTGACGAAACTAATCAGAAACTACAGGTCCCACTCTGAGTTATTGATAGTCCCCTCTCAGTTGTTCTACGATAACGAGCTGGAACCCTTCGCTCCACACTCCCTTGTTAACAGAGTGGTCAACATGGACTTATCCCTGCCTAACCCTAAAGTTCCCTTTATATTCCATGGAGTTGTAGGGGAAGAAATGAAGGAGAACAATAATCCTTCTCTGTACAATCCAACAGAAATTGTACAGGTTCTGACTTATATTAAGCTTTTTACCAACGCTGGTTTCTCCTCGTCTGAGATTGGTGTTATTACCCCTTACAGAAAGCAGGCTGAGAAGACTCGCATGATGTTGCAAAGTATCAAGGATGTTGATGTTCGTCAGATAAAAGTTGCGTCTGTGGAAGATTTCCAGGGCCAAGAACGACCAATTATTATCATATCAACTGTTAGAAGCAACAATTCATTACCATCAGAAAAAGTTAAATTATTAGGATTTCTTCAGAACCCCAAGAGGTTCAATGTAGCCATAACACGGGGTCAGGCTATGTTAGTTGTGGTTGGTAACCCTGATGTTTTGAAACATGACGAACAGTGGGGGGCGCTGTTGGACTATGCGATCAGTAGGGAGTGTTATGTGGGATGTCAGTTTCACTGTGTTGAAAGTGGTGAAATGTTTGGAAGTTGAACATTTGGAGGTTGAACATTTGGAGGTTGAACTTGTCTAAACGGTACATTTTCAACTTTTTTTGGTTGAAAGTTTAAGTGATGTTATGCTGTTTTGCTCCTTTTTGTTATAAACCAGATTTTATTGTGTAATATGGCACTGATTTTTATGACGTTCTTTTAACTATTTGATTATTTTAATAATTTTCTAGTAGTAATTTATTTCTTTAGCCTGATGCAAATAGTCTGATCGATTATATGAATTAAAAAGGCCCAGAATAAAATATATTTATTCCAAATTTAACTGTTCTATTATAATCACATCGGGCAGATCTAGATATTTGTTCCTCGAAAGTTTATAAATTGTTTTTTACAATAAAATTATTTCATTCGACTTGATTCCTCAGCCCAAATATAATTACGAAAGGGGGTATAATCCAATGGTGAAAAATAGAGAAAAATAGTGAAATTTTACAATTTAGAAACCCGATTCACCATAAAAATCATTCAAAATTTTTCACCATTTTACACCATTTTAGTTTTTTTTCCAAAATATCAAATTTAAATATTAAATGTGTTTTCTCGTACTATACGATAATACCAAGAGCTCAGTTTTTATGAATGTTACTCGCCATGTTCGCTATAAGTAACCAGTTTTTATGTACCTTACTCATCATGATCAATAAAAGTTACCAGTTTTGATGTACCTTTCTCACCATGTTCACCAAAAGTAATTAGTTTTGATGTACCTTTCTCACCATGTCCCATGATCACTAAATGTTACTAGATTTAATGTACGTTTCTCACCATGATCACCAAAAATTACCAGTTCTGATGAACCTTACTCATCATGCAATGATCAATAAAGGTTACCAGTTTTGATGTACCTTACTCGCCATATTCACTGAAAGACAAAAGTTGCCAGTTTTGATGTACCTTTGTCACCATATTCGCCAAAAGTTGCCAGTTTTGATGTACCTTACTTGCCATGTGCATGTTCACCGAAAGTGACCAGTTTCGATGTACCTTTCTCACCATGTTCACCAAAAGTAATTAGTTTTGATGTACCTTTCTCACCATGTTCACCAAAAGTAATTAGTTTTGATGTACCTTTCTCACCATGTTCACCAAAAGTTACCAGTTTTGATGTACCTTACTTGCCATGTTCACCGAAAGTGACCAGTTTCGATGTACATTTCTCACCATGGCCAATAGCCATCTTACTATTATATATAATGCGAGACGATATATATGTGTTTATCCGTGCCATTTTACTGCATCAACTTTAGCGTATTTTAAATATAATAATGAAAATATTATAATCAAACACATGTTTAATTGTTTCTTTATATCCTCAAAATCTGAGTTAATAACGAAATATTGTTTTAGAGTGAATAGTAATAACACCAGGTCAAAACTAAAACTAGAAGGCAAATATACATCGAAAAAATGGCGAACAATGGTGAAATTTTACAATTTGGAAACCTGATTCACCATTTTTCACCATTTTTCACAATTTTTCACCATTGGATAGTGGATACCCCCGGTTTAACTGGGCAAATATTTGTGATTTTTATTATTTTAAATTCAATCGTGAAGGAATTTGGCATTGATTACGTGCCTTATCAATGGCACGTTATCAATGCCAAATTCCATCACGATTGAATTTTTTTTAAATGTACTTTATATATCTCTTATATTTCAATACCTCAGAATGTCTAAAGACTGTAAACAAGAGATCAAATCAGAGCAAGTGGAGAACCCAGAAAAGTCAAACGGTTTCCTCTGCCCAATGTGTGGAGCACATTACTTTTCAGAAGACTTCTTTGTGGAGCACATCAAAGAACATAAAACAATATCAAATTGTGCAATAAAACAAGAACTTACATCTGAATCAGATAAACCATCTGTTTTTATCTGTCCAGTTTGTGCTGAACATGTTTACTCAGATACTCAGTTAGTAGAACATGTAAAACAACACCAAGATTATAGCAGCCCAGAAGTACCTAACTACTTTAATACTTCAGATAACTTGACTGGAAAAGATTCTCAGAGGACGTTAGGTCTGTCTCGTAGTGAAAGTCCGCCTGTGAGACCATTTAGGTGTTCACAATGTACATTCAGTGCAGTATATTCGGGAACACTTATAGAACATCAAAAGATTCACTATGGAGAGAAACTCTTCAAATGTTCAGAGTGTTCATATGCTGCAAAACGTGCAGGTCATCTTTCTGTACATATGAGAACTCACTCTAGAGAGAAACCCTTCAAGTGTTCAGAGTGTTCATATGCTGCAAGACACGCAAGTAATCTTTCTGGACATATGAGAACTCACTCAGGTGAGAAACCCTTTAAGTGTTCTGAGTGTTCATATGCTGCAAGACACGCAAGTAATCTTTCTGGACATATGAGAACTCACTCAGGTGAGAAACCCTTCAAGTGTTCAGAGTGTTCATATGCTGCAAAACGTGCAGGTCATCTTTCTGTACATATGAGAACTCACTCTAGAGAGAAACCCTTCAAGTGTTCAGAGTGTTCATTTGCTGCAAGACAGGCAAATCATCTTACTATACATATGAGAACTCACTCAGATGAGAAACCCTTTAAGTGTTCTGAGTGTTCATATGCTGCAAAACAGGCAAATCATCTTACTATACATATGAGAACTCACTCAGATGAGAAACCCTTCAAGTGTTCAGAGTGTTCATTTGCTGCTAAACAAGCAGGTAATCTTACTGTACATATGAGATATCATTCTAGCGATAATCCCTTCAAGTGTTCTGAGTGTTCATTTGCTACAAAACATGTAAGTCATCTTACTCGACATATAATGAGAATTCATACTATTTAGTCAGAAATACAGAACTAAATCCCACCTCCCACTAACCGGACACTGTGGGACGTGGGTTAAACAAACACCTTCGTACCATCTGCAAATCTAGCACCAGTGCATGTCTGATGTGTGACCACGAAGAAGAGACCATCTCGTATTTTCTAAGACAGTGCCCTCAAGTGCCCATCTATTTCTCAACTAAAAGGGCAATATTTTCAGGATTATTATCTCCCTGTCAACGATATCTTCTACAACTATCATATATGATAGTACTCTTGTCAACTTTGCAACCTACACCAATCGTCTTGAGTTACATACTTCGATTCCACTTTTATTATCTGGAAAACTTTGAATGAGGATCAATGGGTAAATTATGAAATGGGAATATTTGAACTGGATATAAAGATATAATTTGCATGTTTTTAGATAATACATTATGATTCAAATGAGTGAAAAACGATGAAGATAATACAAATTATATATGTTGTATGCCATTACCTTCTTAAGAACTATCGCTATCATTAATGATTTTTCTTTTATTTAATGTATTGTTTTATCACTGTTCTTCTAGTAAGACTGAAACATGTCACCGATAAAAATGTCAGACATAAGAACTACTCTATTTTGATATCGTTTAGCCCTAGTCTACATTTTCTGGTAATGATACTGATAGTATATTTTAAAATTGATTGCAATGAAATACTTTGAAGCTTTAGTGTCAAGTACTGCCTTCGATTGGTGTTTCTCAATCAATCAAAAATCAGTGATGTCCATTTAATGATAAACTAAGATAATCTTTTGGTTTAACTGGGCAAATATATGTGATTTTCATCTGATTAGGCACGTTATCAATGGCAAATTCTTTCACAATCGAATTTAAAATAAATGTACTTTACATATCTCTTATATTTCAATACCTCAGAATGTCTAAAGACTGTAAACAAGAGATCAAATCAGAACAAGTGGAGAACCCAGAAAAGTCAAACGGTTTCCTCTGCCCAATGTGTGGAGCACATTACTTTTCAGAAGACTTCTTTGTGGAGCACATCAAAGAACATAAAACAATATCAAATTGTGCAATAAAACAAGAACTTACATCTGAATCAGATAAACCATCTGTTTTTATCTGTCCAGTTTGTGCTGAACATGTTTACTCAGATACTCAGTTAATAGAACATGTAAAACAGCACCATGATCATAGCAGCCCAGAAGTACCTAACTACTTTAATACTTCAGATAACTTGACTGGAAAAGATCCCTGGAGGACATTAGTTCTGTCTCCTAGTGAGAGTCCGCCTGTGAGACCATTTAGGTGTTCACAATGTACATTCAGTGCAGTATATTCGGGAACACTTATAGAACATCAAAAGATTCACTATGGAGAGAAACTCTTCAAATGTTCAGAGTGTTCATTTGCTGCAAAACGTGCTGGTCATCTTACTGTACATATAATGAGAACTCACTCAGGTGAGAAACCCTTCAAATGTTCAGAGTGTTCATTTGCTGCAAAACAGGCAAGTAATCTTACTACACATATGAGAACTCACTCAGATGAGAAACCTTTCAAATGTTCAGAGTGTTCATTTGCTAAAAATCAAGCAAGTTCTCTTGCTGTACATATGAGATATCACTCTAGCGATGATCCCTTCAAGTGTTCTGAGTGTTCATTTGCTACAAAAAAAGCAATTCATCTTACTAGACATATAATGACAATTCATACTACTTAGTCAGAAATACAGAACTAGATTGCACCTTATCACCGGACACTGTGGGTTAAACAAACACCTTCGTACCATCTACAAATCTAGCACCAGTGCATGTCCGATGTGTGACCACGAAGAAGATACCGTCTTGTATTTTCTAAGACAGTGCCCTTGTGCCCATCTATTGCTCAACTAAAAGGGAAATATTTACAGGATTATAAACTCCCTGTCAACGATATCTTCTACAACAATCATATAAGTACTCTTGTCAACTTTGCAACCTACACCAATCGTCTTTAGTTACATACTTCGATTCCACTTTTATTATCTGGAAAACTTTGAATGAGGATCAATGGGTAAATTATGAAATAGGAATATTCGAACTGGAAATAATTTGCATGAATTCAGATAATACATTATGATTCAAATGAGTGAAAAACGATGAAGATAATACAAATATATAATATGTTGTATGACATATTACCTTCTTAAGAACTATCGCTATCATTAATGATTTTTCTTTTATTTAATGTATTGTTTTATCGCTGTTCTTCTAGTAAGACTGAAACATGTCACCGATAAAAATGTCAGACATAAGAACTACTCTATTTTGATATCGTTTAGCCCTAGTCTACATTTTCTGGTAATGATACTGATAGTATATTTTAAAATTGATTGCAATGAAATACTTTGAAGCTTTAGTGTCAAGTACTGCCTTCGATTGGTGTTTCTCAATCAATCAAAAATCAGTGATGTCCATTTAATGATAAACTAAGATGATCTTTTGGTTTAACTGGGCAAATATATGTGATTTTCATCTGATTAGGCACGTTATCAATGGCAAATTCTTTCACAATCGAATTTAAAATAAATGTACTTTACATATCTCTTATATTTCAATACCTCAGAATGTCTAAAGACTGTAAACAAGAGATCAAATCAGAACAAGTGGAGAACCCAGAAAAGTCAAACGGTTTCCTCTGCCCAATGTGTGGAGCACATTACTTTTCAGAAGACTTCTTTGTGGAGCACATCAAAGAACATAAAACAATATCAAATTGTGCAATAAAAAAAGAACTTACATCTGAATCAGATAAACCATCTGTTTTTATCTGTCCAGTTTGTGCTAAACATGTTTACTCAGATACTCAGTTAGTAGAACATGTAAAACAACACCAAGATCATAGCAGCCCAGAAGTACCTAACTACTTTAATACTTCAAATAACTTGACTGGAAAAGATCCTCAGAGGACATTAGTTCTGTCTCCTAGTGAGAGTCCACCTGTAAGACCATTTAGCTGTTCACAGTGTACATTCAGTGCAGCATATTGGAGAACACTTAAAAAACATCAAAAGATTCACTCTGGAGAGAAACTCTTCAAATGCTCAGAGTGTTCATATGCTGCAAGACACGCAAGTCATCTTTTTGGACATATGAGAATTCACTCTAGCGATAAACCCTTCAAGTGTTCAGAGTGTTCATATGCTACAAAACAAGCAAGTAATCTTACTAGACATATGAGAACTCACTCAGTTGAGAAACCCTTCAAGTGTTGTGAGTGTTCATATGCTGCAAGACGAGCATGTGATCTTACTGTACATAGGAGAATTCACTCTGTGGAGACATGATTCAAATGTTCACAGAGCTCCTATGCTGAAAGAAAAATTAGTGATCTTACAAGAAATATTAGAATCCACTATGCATATGGTGAGAACCAAAATTGGCAGTCCGGCAAGATGTTGTTTAGTTCTTGATAAGATGGTGAGACATTATGTTTTGGTGCCTTTATTGACATTCAGTAATGGAGCATCGTTGTGGTTGTATATGTTTGATATCCCCCCTTTTATCAGTTTTACACATAGCTATTGTGTCAAAATTACAGTAGTGTGATCATTTGGAAACCATTTTCACCCTTTTTACCATTTTAGTTATTTATTTTCAAAGTATCAAATTGAAATATTAAATGTGTACCAAGAGCTCAGTTTTGATGAACCTTATTCGCCATGTTCACTGAAAGTAACCAGTTTTGATGTACCTTTCGGCTTTCTCACCATGTTCAATGTTCACTATTTTTGATGAAAAATGGTGATTGATAGTTTTGGTGAATCGAGTTTCCGAATTGTAAAACCTAGACTTACTTTAAATTTAATGAAGCACATGTTTAATCGTTTCTTTATATCCTCAAAACCTGAGTTAATAACCAACAATTTCTTGGAGCGATAACACCAGGTCAAAACTAAAACTAGAAGGCAAATATTACATTCATCGAAAAAATGGTGAAAATCATTTTTCACCATTTTACACAATTTTTCACCATTGGATACCCTCTTACGAAACTTTAAACTTTATTTTTCACTTCAATCTCACAAGTAAGCCAAATTAATACGCTTGAAGAACAGATCATGCTATAGAATAATAAAATACTAAATACAGATAAAATCATAAATCAACAACTTTCCCTCTTACCGAATACAACATCAATAACATCGGTATACCCAAGTACAAAAGAAACCCTCGTACCACATAAAACATGTGACCTACCTTGGCACCATTAATTTCCTGAAGTATGAGTACCACCCCAGCCGGCCTGCCAATCCAAACAAGCACACCTCAACCTACCCAGCTCAACGGAAAAGATGCAATGTAATGTAATGTAATGTAATGTAATGTAATGTAATGTAATGTAATGTAATGTAATGTAATGTAATGTAATGTAATGTAATGTAATGTAATGTAATGTACAAATATTATTATATACAAAGTATGTAATATATTTTACACGGATTATGCAGTATATTATGTAAACTAAATGTAACACGGTGTGGCGTGTGGTTAGTAATTTGTGCATGCGATAGAGTAGTGTTCTTACCATACTATTCAGATTAGCCAACTAAATCTCGTTCGAGCTGGAAAATTTAGTTTATACTGACTTTAAGCGGTTTTACATTTGTTGTAACATGCTAAAAAAGATCGAGAATATTCTTTGTTGACCAGGCTTAATAAAAATTTAGCTGTAGGATTAAGCGAATTAAATAATATATATATAATATATATGGGTAAACTAGACCTGCAGAAGCCAGGGGAACGGCCCATAGCAGGGTTACCAGGATGGCCCGGTACCCAAAAAACCCTAATTAAATAATATTACGAGTAAAAGTATTATTATTATGTGATATCATAATAAGCTTTCTAATGAAAATACGTTTACTCGCAAAGCTAGGATAGAAATTAAACAGCTTGCAGTAAAAGACAATAATTTCATTAATCTCCAGGCTCTGCATTACTGTAATCTCTAGCTATATTATAGCATGCTAAGTGTACTCAAACTAGCACGAAATTCTCACAAACCCTTGCTGCTAGGATGTTAGACTGAGAGAGTGAGAGATGGCGCTTCCCCCTGCACATCCTCAACTGTTTGCCCATGTCAAGTACTTCGTTACTGCTGATGTGTCTGATGAGGTGAGATGAGGATTTGGTTACTTTAAAAATAGTGGTGGTTTTAATGGATAATCTTAATTTATTGGGAAATTCTCGATTATCGGTTACACGACGATAGTCTCCGGACAATCATGCTGATTCCCGCTAGTACAATTTCCCTGACTGTTCACAAACTAAGCTGCAAATTTAAGGTGCACTCAAGCATGTTCTGACATGCTGTTTCTTTCAGATAAAGGCTTTGCTAAAAGAAGGGGGAGCAAAGAAGGAATTTTACGTATCAGACCTTGTGACCCACGTGATCACAGAATCAGCTAACTTCTCTGAACGAGAAGACTGCTCTGACAAACTCACTGTTAAATCAACATGGGTAAGTCATTGTCAGTTTTATTTTAGTTAGACACTGTGGGGAAGTAATTGTAATTTACCAGGTTTTTGGCATTATTATTCTACTAAATTATCATTTCCAAGCGTGTATTTCTAACACAAGCACCTTATTCTCCGTGTTCACTGATCATTTTACCCAAATAACACCCTATCCTCTCTCTCTCAGGTGAAATTATCTCATCAGATGGGTTACCTCCTCCCAACTCAACCCTTTACTGTCTTCCCTGTCGGACTCTTCTCTGCCTACACTCTCACCACATCAGGTTTAAATCATCTTCATGCCATCCCTCATACTAGGTTCCGTACAGACTCAACTCTGCACCCGTGTCAATATGTTCATTATATGCAAGCCTCTTGATTTATATCCCAAGATCAACAAAATCTTGATTCTCAACAGTCAAGGTGCTGGCTTCACATTATTGACACTACGAATAAGGGTTTACAACGAAAATACTTTCGAAAATATTGCCCGTAATACAATTAATTATCGTTATACTTTAAATTGAAATGGTCTTTGTCCAGGAATAAAGGGAGACGACTACTACGCCGTGTGGAGTATGGTACACTGGAACGGGGGAGTCCTGGCTCGGACCCTCTCTCAGAAAACTACTCACCTTATTGTGGGAGCTCACCAGAGTCTGGTCAGTCCTGGTTGTAATCTTGTTAATACTCTGGTAGCATGGTGGGATTAACCTTGTCCTTAGCTAATACTCTGGTAGCATGGTGGGATTAACCTTGTCCTTAGCTAATACTCTGGTAGCATGGTGGGATTAACCTTGTCCTTAGCTAATACTCTGGTAGCATGGTGGGATTAACCTTGTCCTTAGCTAATACTCTGGTAGCATGGTGGGATTAACCTTGTCCTTAGCTAATACTCTGGTAGCATGGTGGGATTAACCTTGTCCTTAGCTAATACTCTGGTAGCATGGTGGGATTAACCTTGTCCTTAGCTAATACTCTGGTAGCATGGTGGGATTAACCTTGTCCTTAGCTAATACTCTGGTAGCATGGTGGGATTAACCTTGTCCTTAGCTAATACTCTGGTAGCATGGTGGGATTAACCTTGTCCTTAGCTAATACTCTGGTAGCATGGTGGGATTAACCTTGTCCTTAGCTAATACTCTGGTAGCATGGTGGGATTAACCTTGTCCTTAGCTAATACTCTGGTAGCATGGTGGGATTAACCTTGTCCTTAGCTAATACTCTGGTAGCATGGTGGGATTAACCTTGTCCTTAGCTAATACTCTGGTAGCATGGTGGGATTAACCTTGTCCTTAGCTAATACTCTGGTAGCATGGTGGGATTAACCTTGTCCTTAGCTAATACTCTGGTAGCATGGTGGGATTAACCTTGTCCTTAGCTAATACTCTGGTAGCATGGTGGGATTAACCTTGTCCTTAGCTAATACTCTGGTAGCATGGTGGGATTAACCTTGTCCTTAGCTAATACTCTGGTAGCATGGTGGGATTAACCTTGTCCTTAGCTAATACTCTGGTAGCATGGTGGGATTAACCTTGTCCTTAGCTAATACTCTGGTAGCATGGTGGGATTAACCTTGTCCTTAGCTAATACTCTGGTAGCATGGTGGGATTAACCTTGTCCTTAGCTAATACTCTGGTAGCATGGTGGGATTAACCTTGTCCTTAGCTAATACTCTGGTAGCATGGTGGGATTAACCTTGTCCTTAGCTAATACTCTGGTAGCATGGTGGGATTAACCTTGTCCTTAGCTAATACTCTGATAGCATGGTGGGATTAACCTTGTCCTTAGCTAATACTCTGGTAGCATGGTGGGATTAACCTTGTCCTTAGCTAATACTCTGGTAGCATGGTGGGATTAACCTTGTCCTTAGCTAATACTCTGGTAGCATGGTGGGATTAACCTTGTCCTTAGCTAATACTCTGGTAGCATGGTGGGATTAACCTTGTCCTTAGCTAATACTCTGGTAGCATGGTGGGATTAACCTTGTCCTTAGCTAATATTTTGTATGATCTACCCTTCACGATGGAGGGAGTGTACGTGTTTTTATAAAATCTGAGGCACCTGATTGGTATAATTATCATTATAGTATCCAGACAATGTTCTAAACCTCTCAGGATACCTTTGAAACCTAATATAATACCCATCTCAGATCAAGTAATATAAATTTACGTTAAACAATTAAATAGAAACCCTTCCTGAAAGTATCGTGGTATTTATCGTCTGCACTAATTTCAGGTAAAGTACCGGGCTGCTGTAGCTAACAACATTCCTGTGGTTGTGATCGAGTGGTTGCTGGACAGCATTGAACGGGGAACTGTGCTTCCTACTGACCAGTACATTCTGGTGAGTCTACTTGTTAATTGGCTAATTTTCTAATTAGTTATCTTTCTTTTCTTCGCGTTTTGATCTAAACAGACGGACTTTATCTAGTTTGCTATCATCAATGTACACTTCGTATTCGTTATAATATGAGAATTAGACATGTTTAGCGATATAAATCTGTCTCATTCACAGATTATAGAATCTTTTACATAGCTGACTTTTATGGACTTTATCGATGTATAAGCTAAAACTGTTGATCTATATTGTACGAGTACAATGAGAAGACGATATAATGAATATACACAAGTTAAAACGGTCATGAGTCACTATAGTTGACCTATGATCGATGACAGCATATTACGTTTAACTGTTTAAGGACTGTACCCTCTGGACTTATCCACCTGCGTCCTGCACCCATCAACATACTATTATAGTAACATAACTTGTTTATTAACATATCTATTAATATACTTATTCACATTAAAATGATAATTATAAATATTTCAGCACATCCCAGGATACACACCGCCCCGTGCCGCCGCGCCTCCCACCCCTACCATCCCCTCCATCCCCACCATCCCCTCTCCGCGTGTCTCCCAGTCTCCTCGACTCAACCCTCTAGTTCCACCCTCTCCTCTCCTCGCACCCACCATCAGTTCTCCTACCCTCACTTCTCCTGATACCAAGGAGGAGGAGAAGACTACTACGAGGAAGAGACCTCCCAAGAAGAATAATAAGAAGAAGAAAGATGCTAATAATAATATGAACATGTTCCCTATGACGCCTGCTGTGAGTTCAAGACTTTATTTTGAAACTGATATTCTTTACTTCTACCTATAATTTTTTGTTGAACTAGAATCGCACAACGGTTTATTGCACCTAGAGGATTGATAAATAAGTTATAATAATAAACGTTATATAAACTTGCAAATTAATAAGAATATTTGTTTTCAGATGATAGGTCAGGCGGGAGTGCCTTACCCCCACACTCCCTCACCCCTCCCTCCAACTCCCTCTCCTCACACCCCCAACACTGTGTCTCCTGACAGGTACTTCATCAGCAGTTATTATTATTTTTTAACAAATTATGTAAATATTATTTAACGCTTACTTATTATGTAATTACTAATTATGCGTTGTGACGGAGTAAGAGAAGTGAGAACGAATTTAGCATAATTAAAGTTGTATGTCAAATAATTTGTGTTCCTGACAAATGTTATTTAACACTAAACATTTATTAGACCTTATCTTTTATCTCAATTCGTAATATTTGCTGTTTTAAGCTAATTTGGTTAATAGAACTTTTTTTCGCAAGAAGATCCGCGCGTTAATGTAATTTTAATAAATTAATTTATGTCTTAACTTAACTTCCGAATATATGTACATTTCACTCAGGTTTGGGCTCCAGCAGCAGTCGCCATACATGATGGCTAACTCAGCGCAGTACATGCAGTTCCAACAAGCTCAAGCACAAGCGGCGGTACGTGTTTTACACAATTTAGTTTATATTTGGGTATTTGGTGCATAGTATTTAGTTTGTATATGGTATTTGGAATATGGTAATTATTTGGTTTATATGCGTATTTGGTGCAGGTTTTGAAAGTATTTACTTGCCATGGCCACCCATTGCATTTCATTGTCATCCAAATACAACGAAACAAATATTAAAATATTAGTACTATTAATATATTATAATGTAGTAGCATTATGAGTAGTTAAGTGTGTGTTCTGATACGCTATAAATAGTTTAAGTTACTATTCAGTATTCACATGAGACATACTAAACTCACATCGCCTCATTTAACAGCCTCATAAAGTACAATGTGTACTCAAGTCTGAGTACTTGTGTACATTATGTGTGGTAATAATATGTCGGGTATGTTATCATAATAACTAATAATATGTCGGGTATGTTATATAATTGTGTCTGAATGTGTACGTAAACAATGTTGGATCAGGAAAACAAACGGCCCTAAATTTGTATTTTATAAGTTATCAAAAATATGGTGGTATTGTTTATGCGGGCATTTTTGAGATTGACAGTGAAATATTATTATTATGTCGAAGGGAAACATTAACCTTTAAAAATGTTATAGAGTAAACAAATCTTTTGTGATTTGTGTTGATTTACATAGTATTCACATGTACTGGCATATTATTTTTATGTTAATTCTCATAATCCGCTAAATAAACAAGGATAAAATCAAGCAGTCGCCCAACCTCACATGATACGTTGTTAAACAAAAACAACCATCTAAACCGCGTGTCCATTATTAACCAATCGTTTGCGAAAATTACGACCACCTGACTATTATGAGCAAATCATAAGCGCCAATCGCATGCAAGAATCTCAATCACGTGACCGATACTGTACAATGACTGGATTATCTGAACACTGCACCTGACCAGCGTCTAGACTGAGGTCAATTCGGAAAATGACCTGGAGTTCCGAATGTGCTATATTATAAAGGAGCATAATATAACTGGAATGTACTCTGGTGACGTCATAGGAATTCTTAGTCAGTTTCTATTGATGTAGCCACGATAGACACAGACCAAGAATTAGAACAGTAATAAACACCTTTTCGTGATGATTAGATCTATGGTCTGGCTATCTTTCTCAGTCAAGATAGAACTGTATTGCCAATCAATAACACTGCACTTACAAAATATTATATTTTGTTTCAAATATTTCAGAATTCAGTATATAAACTTTAAGTTAGTTTTAGATTTGTTTGGATAAAGAAAATGGAAATGAATAAAACGTGATTGTTGATGACTGATGACGTCACGTGATGACTGATGACTTCACGTAAATGATGATGACGTCACATGACAATCTCTATTTCAGCAAGGGGGTATGGTGAGGTTGGGATACCCACCAGGAGGCCCAGCTGGGGCAGCTAACAGACAGCAGTGGAACAATATACAGTACCAGCAGCAGATGATGGCTCAACAGCAGAAACAAGGTACTGTTTCCTCTAAGTCACGTGGCTGAAATGCACCGGAACGTTTGTGGGCAGTTGTTTGGCACGTTAAGCTTCTTTATCTATCGTATCATCAACACTGCACTTATATAATATTCGAAAATAAACACTCAAATTACATTATAATAAGTATCAACTTTTAATGATTTTGTAACCGAAACATTTTGTAACCGAAACATTTGTTGGTAGTAATTTGGATTATAAAGCTTCTCTTTCTATCGTATCATCACCACTTTACTTATATAATTGGTGTCAGTTTTAATGATGTTTGTGAATGTTTTAAAACAGTCTCCTCCTACCCAGGATACTTCGGACCAGGCCAGTACCCGGGTCAGATGCCCCCAGGTTACCCGGGACGGAATACCCCCACCAGCTACCCACCCAACACGGCCATGTTCCAACAGCAAGTCCAACAACAACAAGCAGCACAAGCACAACAAGCACAGGCTGCTCAACAACAAGCTCAGCAGCAGCAGCAGCAACAAGCTGCTACCCAGCAACAGCATAACCAGACCCTGGCTAATCAGGTACTGGCATATTTGTTATGTTTCAGTGAATATAGCATGTTATTTAATATTATTCCCTGGTTTAGTCAGTCCAGACCATTACTGCTTGATAGTAAGGATGCGTCTCGTTATTTAATGAAAAGCGCAATTTTCACACCTTCAAAACCTTGTAAGTCAAATAGAGGAGACTGAGAGAAGCTAGTTTTGACAATTACGTCATTTTATGGATTTAACCTTCGAACTTATAGTAAATAGCCAAAGTCATGACTATAAAAAAGTTGTATCTGACTATCATATCATCTGATGTCTACGAATAATAAAGTTTTACAGTGCAGACCTTTTCTCGGTTTAGATCATCGGTTAAGATCATCATATAATATCATGGGATTTGGGCTTGAACTGATAGTTTGGGCTTGAACTGATAGTTAAAAACCTGGCCCAAGTCAAAACCATGGGAGGAAGTGCAGTGCTGTCCGCGAATAATCAAGTTCTTACACACGGACCTTGTCAGTTAACAATTAACATCATCTCTGCTAAGTCACGTGACAATATCTAATCACGTGACATTATCTAGTTAAAACTTGGCGTTACCCGATATGTTACAGTGAAAATGACAGCGTAACATCAGGTCCTGTATTTTACCAGACTGTCCACAAACTCCCAAGGGAGATTGGAACTGCACTGTCTTTGAACAGCCCTCTGTGTGTGGGTGGGTGTGTAATGTCTCATGATATCATATTAAAGGTACTTGATAAATAGGTTAAATGTTACCGTTTACTGTTTAATTAGAGGGTACCGATGTTACAACGGTGTGAGAATGATTTCTTCTAAATATTACGATATGCTGGAATGTTGTAAGATCTGTTGTTGGAATTTGATCTATTCACTTCCGCCAAAGACACATAATTTCGTAATCGTACTGTACTGTATCCATTTGTAGCATCACTTTGTCGCGATTGTCACAAAATACAAGGAATGCGGACATATTTTGATGTCTAATTTTATAAAGTTTGTAACAAGATACAGCTGGCTTGTAATCAGACCTTTCCCTGCCCTGAATCATTGGACCTCATTACTGAGATATGACGTTTTAGGGTGGTTAATTGGATCCCATTTCACCGTCACCTTATCATGACTTCTAGTACGCACTCACTGAACCTCATTAGGGCTCGCCCCTGTCAGTGTCTTATCTCATAGCGTTACGAAATAACTAGCCATGTCATGTATTATAAAAGAGCTCAGGATCACCATCAAATCATCTCCAGTCTCAACCAAAGTTTCTCAACTACTTCTCTCGACATGAGTTCTACAGAGTGTATTGAACACTATCTTTACTTCACAGACTCTCCTTCTGATACCTTTACATCTCCTGTTAAAAGGAAACTCTACAATCGCAAGAAGAGACGCGCACTCCGAAACATCCAATATTCTCAACCAACCCCTGCAGCTGTGTTCTCTGAAGACCAGGAAGACTTTAGTTCTGATAACTCCTTTGCTGCCCACATGTGTTCATTGGAGATTTCTACACGCGGGAAGAAGCGACCCTTGACCCAAAATGAAAGTGACGACCAAAAAGCTGATAAACGCTTTAGAAAAATGATGGACCACAAAGGACAGATCACCGAGCATTTATCTAAGCAATTGCCGATCTTCAAGAAAATCACAGAAGCTAAGATAAAGTTCATCAAGGTTCAAGCAGAGTTCAATGATGTTCAAGCAGTGTTTCACAAAGTCCAAGCAGAATTAGAGACTGTGCAGTTGGCAGCGTTTAAACGAGATAATTGTTTGTAGTTGCTTCAAGAGTGAATCTTTTTAATTTATTTAGGTATGATTTTAAACATTGTATTTGTACATACAATCTTGAATTGGCATTTTTACATTATAACTGATAATTTAAAATACAAGTTGTTTCTTTTGATCTGCACAACTGCACTGGTTAAACAGGCCGCTAGTAATTCGAATTGAGAAACAACTGGTTCTTGGCAGTGACATTCAGCTCAGTTCTTGTGTATTATGTTGGCATACATTTTTACTCATTTCATTTCACGAAGTAAACAGTCTGACGCCTCCTTTTTACCAGGCGTTGAAAGCAGCCCCTACCCCACCACCTGAGGTAACCGAGGAGAAGGAAACCAGATACCAGACTCTGAAGAATTGTACTCTCATGTTGATAGATTATCCCGAGTATTACAGCAAGGACATTATCAACAAATGGAGGGTTAGTGTTTTATTTCGTAATATAATAATATATTATATATATAATATATCATGTACGCTGTGATAAATTGCATTATTGAATAGTACTTTACACTGAACTTGTAATATTAGGTTGTTATACATACAGACATACCACATTGCCCTTATATCCTTGTCAATAAAAAATGCAAATATAATCACAATAATATATATTCTGTGAGATCACAGATGACACTGCCTCTCCTGCAGATTGTAATAGAGGAGCACGGCGGAGAGATAGCTAACTACTACAACCCTGAGTTTGTAACCCACGTGATATGTATGAGCAGGTAACTTTTAACTTTTACTACCAGTAGAGTTAGTCTGAGGATAATACACAGCCATGTCGCTATGACGACACCCTGACGTCAATGCAAATAATATTTCAGCTATTTTTTTACATTGTTCATAAAATACGCAGATCATGATATGCTAAGTTTTTTATGTTTTACTGTTAGTACTATAATGTTCTAACTTATACTATACCATATACTATTTAAAAGTACACGACAAGTTTTGTAATGACAACATTTATAAACAAAACTTTTAAAATTTCACAATAAAAATGTGATAATTCGCAGGATGAGTGATATCTACAAGCGTGCGTTAGAAGATGGTAAGTGCGTTACAACAGCACACTGGCTGAACGATGTTGTGATCGGTAAAGAATACATGATACCCCACAATCCGCTACACATACCAACACAGTTCAAAACAGGTGATTAATTAATTAATTGTTAATACGTTGATTAAAAGTTAATTAGACAAGTCTGGTATACTTCCCAATTCGCCAACTGATTCGTTAAAAAACACAATTAGTTCAAAAAAGACACTAATAATCAAATAATATTGGTTCTCTCAAATGATGGAGTAGTTCGCTGTTAACTAGTCTCATTATTGAAATACTGATAGCTGGATAATATCCATTGCATTTGTACCAATTTTAGCCTCAAGATGGCGTTGACTCGTTCACGCCGAAAATTTGCCTACATTCCTAACTTCCTGTTTCATTTGTCAATTGTCCTTGTCTCTTCCAACCGGATATTATCCAACTATCAATCTGTGTTCTAACCAAATTTCCAAACATTTTAAATAGGGGTCTCATTATTGCTTGATTTACTCTCGTCAGCTGTGTTCTTCCCATGTGTGTCACCTGAAACATAACGAGTTAGTTAAATATTAATTCATCGTTAAAACGAGAGCTCAAATACATTTCTACCATCATCAGAAAGAATGTATTATTATTAGATGTTTTTTCAAATAAAATAACAAAACTTGATGAGGGTTTTGTACCTGTTACAGGTGTTATGTTTCTCGAGTTCTTTAAGAAGTTAGGCACTATTGTCAGTAGTTTCGAGTGAACAAATTTACGGAAACTCGGTATAGTCAGGGCATAAATATAAAAGTTAGCCACAATATTTACCATCAACAAGAAATAGCTTATTCTGAAGAAATGAATTTGAAAGCTTCCAGAAGAATCCTCTCTGATGAATCTCTTCACAATGTGATAAACAAGAAACGGCAAAGTCGAAACAGTGAACACCACAGCAGTGATAGCCACCGTCATAGCTCCTTGCCATGGAACAATACTTCCAACTCGCCCCGCTGATTTCCAAGCTCCAACAAGATACTTGAGTGTAGGAACTGTGGTAGCCACAATGATTGTGTACGGAACTAGACCATAGATGAAAGTAAAAATTGGAGATATTATCCTCCATGCGGTGGCGTTATACCCATAGTCACATGTGTAAATTCTGTAATCATAGTGCACATCATCTGTTTCCACAGCCATCTTAATTACAGGATTAATGAGAGATAAAACCCAAATTAAGGAACAAACTTGATGAGCTCTTTTCGTAGAGAAACTAGCACTTCGGAGAGGATATCTCAGCAAGAGGAACTTGCTTGTAGTAAGCACTGTGATAAGGTATAAACCAGCTTCATATGTGGTGAAGCTAGCATAAGTCCTGATCGAGCACATTACATCTCCAAGTACCCAGGAGTTGGATACTAATGTGATGGTGTGAGGAAGTGCGAAACAGACAGCGTTTAACAAATCGGAGACTGCTATATGCTGGATTACTGTCGCTATGAACTTGTTGACTTTAAATGCGTCCTTCTGGAATGATGCGTAGATAATGAGAGTATCTCCAAATAGAGCTGATAACAGACCAAATAGAAAGTAAGCGGCCCAGAAGTATCTCTCTCCGTCGTTCTTTATCCCAAATCTGATATCAGAGTAGTGACTCGAATTAGAAATCATTAGGGTCTTTTATCAGTTTTAGTGAAAATGTCTTTCTCGGCTGATCATGGTGATGGTTAAATCGTATAACATTCTTGACAACAAAGGGATCAGAAACAATGCTAATAAGAAATGAACCAAACACACTAGCCTTGTCGTTGGATTGATTCTCAAGAATGGAATAATTGATATTCCGGAGCGTTCTCAAAATTCGATTTCAGTGGGTTGACAAGTTTCCAAAGCTTAGATACCACTCCTTTTCTGTGTAATAAAGTATATGGTTTACGTCCGGTAATTATTTGGAAATGACTTGGGATATCATTGGTACTCTAAATAGCACCTATTATAAAATATAGTTAATTACAGACTTTAATTAACATGAGTGTACTGCAGCCGTGAGCTGTTTAAACGTGAGCTGTAAAAAACATTGCAGGAGTTCATAGACAATCTATTTTAAATTGGTCACTGAAATTTTGCGGAGGGATTTTTGAGGAATCTTAAATTTGGCGATATTCTAACTTCACAAAATTCTAAACAGACGTAAGACTTGAGTGAAAAAACTTCATCATACTGATATAATAAGGTTTAGTATGACCGATAAAAACTGCAAAGAGAGAAAATCAGGATCGTTAGGGATGCTGATCGTTAGTATTAGGCTATTTAACGATCAATGTTCCTAGTATTTAAGTTTGAATTTCGCCGACTTTAATTTTAGTATAAGCACAGAGACAACGATTCCGGTATTGAACGCTTACAAATATCAAGAATGGCGCAGATCACATACTAGCTGATGTAACATCTGGTGTCAACTTATGTAACATCTGGCCAACTTTAGTGACATGACTCCTATTATCCAGTAACATTTTCCTGACTCCAGTCTGATCAGAAAACATCAGAAAGTTTGAACTTAAGAACACTTACGAAGGTTAAATGCTGACGTTGGTTATTTTCTGATAAAATAATATACCAGCTGACTGAACTGCTGTTACCGGGGTTACCAGACTGTTCGAATATTAGCACTATCTAAAACTATCACTAATAATAGCTCTCTAGAGTCACCTTATTTCAGTTGGCACAACTTCAATAATTTATCAGCTGACTGAACTGTTGTCACCAGGGTTACCAGACTGTTCAAAGATGAAGATATCTGTAACGGGATACGAGGGAAAAGAGAGGATTTACGTGAAAGATATGATCCGAGTTATTGGGGCTGTCTACACCGGGGAGCTTAGCCAGGTGAAGAAACAAACAAACAAACAAACAAACAAACAAACAAACAAACAAACAAACAATTTGACATAATCTCAGTCTGAAACAATACTCAAAAGAGACCCTCCCAATTCCTATCAATATTCTGCAGATCTACTGAATATGTGGAATAAGTTTCCACTTTAGTAGTCTCTAAGTATGAGTTAAGTACAAAGCAAGCATATCATGTCTAATTATTGTGCATAAATCTTAGCTGATTATGTAATAATGTATTTAAATTTTAGCCGTTCTATCTAGTGACCAGTACCTTTTACAGCATAGTACTCAAATCTACAATTTCATTTATTTTGGAAACTATAAATGATAATGTACATGACATATTCTATGTGACAATTACAACACCACACCACCTCATTCGTGACTCAAGATCATACAACACAACAATCAAGAATAAAAGTACAATGCTATTTTGAACCTCATTATTTTCTAACCCACCTAAGATTTCTAACACTAAAAAACATGTCACCGCATTGTTATTCGTTCTAGAAACTTCCTTTCGGGCACCAAGCGTAACAGCACATGCTATAAAAGAAGCCTTATAGTTCAAGTATTGTATCCTGTTTGTATGACGTTATGTTTGTGTAGCGAGACTTGGAGCGTTATTGTAAGTCTGACTTTAATTCAGAGTAATTATGATATGGGGTGTGTGCAAGTGTTGTTTTGACGGATTTGAAACGTACCGGCAAATGTAATACAATAGACTGACAACTTCGAGATTAGTTTATATAGTGAAAGTATTCATGACATTTTATGTATTTGAGGATAACCTAACATCTTACCTATAATATCAAAATATCTAATGAAAATATTCTTCTTTTCAGCAAAACTCCCACCTGATCTCCCGTATTCTTTTCAGCAAAACACGCACCTTATCTCCCGTAAAACTGAAGGTCTAAAGTACACTAAAGCTCAGAAGTGGGGTACTAAAGTTATCAGCGCTAGATGGCTCTCTGACATAGTCCTCTATGGTGTGGTAAGTGTTCAGCTAATATTGAGCTTCTGTTTGGTTCTTAAATTATCAGACCAAGTCATAAGCATACATTTAAAATCTTTGTGACATGCCTAATTATATAATAATCATTATGCATATTATGCTCCTCCTACTACATGATGCTGAGTTGGAAGAAAATGATAATTTGTACTCGGTCTTCACAAACAATATCATATTATTATATTATATCCTGTAACACATTATTTCTTTAGATTTCAACTAATTTCTTGTTTTTACCCTCACTAATTTCTTGTTTTTACCCTCACTAATTTCTTGTTTTTACCCTCACTAATTTCTTGTTTTTACCCTCACTAATTTCTTGTTTTTAACCACACTATACTAGGTTAACACCTCACTAACATTACCCCGGCCCAGGTTAGCGTCACTACTGAGAAGAAATACACAGCTCTTGGTGACCCTAAAGAGATGATTCTACACGAATCTGTGATGCCCAAACTTATCGAATGGTATGTGTTAACCATGTGTATCCACCATCGTGAATCATTTAGATTTTAATTAATTAATTTCCCTAATTGACAGATGAGATTGAATAATTCTTATCATGTAGTCTGTAATGTCTCTTATTTCCCCTGGTTATAAAACTTGATCCGGGCTAGTTTGAGATCTATTTTGAGCGGGAGAGTAATTATAGTGATGATCTTTACCAACAAACCTGACTAACATTCGTTATGTGTAAGATATTTGGAGCATGAAGTAATATTACCCCCTTATTTCAGTTGAAACATGACCTAATATTAGTACTATCTAAAACTAGCACTAATATTACCTCTAGATTCACCTTATTTCAGTTGGCACAACTTCAACCAGAAAGACCCTAAACCTGTCTCTAAATTCAAGTCACCTGTTATATTGTTTACTGGACTACCGAGTGACAAGAATCAGAAACTTACTCAAGTGAGCAAAATGTTGCTTTCTCGCTTTTTTGAATGGAGAAGGGTTTTATGCCATGATTGCATTTAACTAGGGCATATGTGTCTATTATTTATAACTTTGTTCATGTATAATTGTATTCAACATTTCCCTTCGAACTACAACATATTTCTAACACTCAAATATTTGACAGATGATAAAGCGAATGCGCTGTACGTTGACAACAGACGTCAGGGAAGCGACACACTTGATAACCTGTAAAATAGTCCGTACTGTCAAGTTCCTGTCGGCCATGTCACAGTGTAGTTATATCCTGACTGCCTCTTGGATTGAACAGAGTTGCAATCGGTAATCTTTTTATTATTTTGGAAATTTGGAAAGTTATTTTTGGCTGGACCAAATGCAACAATTACTTTCTCGTCGATATGGACTATTTCACACTTTTGCTCCAAGTGTGAATGTGTGAAATTTTGACGTCCATTTATAGTTATGGATATCATTTTGTAAATTTTAGCGTTTATATTCCGCCGACTTGTCGAAATTTCTCTTAAACAAGTTAACTTTCCAGGAAGATGTTGATAGACGAGAGCAGCTTCATTCTGGAAGATAAAGAAAACGAGCAAGCGCTTGGTTTCTGTGTTCGAGATAGCTTAACTAAGGCTCGGCTCAACAAGGTAGGTTATATCGTAAGGCCATGTTACGTATCTCCTTAAGTTAGGATATATTCGTTGTTTTGTGTTTCAAAATCTCTGATGGACTTCACACAAGGATGTTGACAACGTAAAACAAGAAATAACATCTTTTTGTACTAGCAAGATTTTACCTTTTTATGATAAAAGTAGAGGTTGATAGCATTGCTTTGCACGTACCCACGAGACGCGCGAGATTAGACTAAATTATTGGTCAAATTCGATTCCCGTTGTGTGTTGTGTCAAATAAATTGATCGAGTTTAGCTACATACAAAGAAACCTTTTCGTCTCGTTAAACTGGTTTTAATCGTCCCCTCATCAGGTTTTCAAAGATTGCGAACTATTCCTGACGCCCCACATCCAGCCTGGCCCGCGGGACATGAAAACTATAATCGAATGCGGCGGTGGCTCGGTGATAACTGAAGACCAGGCCCTTGGTAGAGTCCAGGTTCCTGCTGAGAGGAGAAAACCATTTTATGTGGTACGTGACCGATTGAATTAACTGAAATGATAGTCGTTCTTGCATGCTTTAATTGATTAAACACGATTTTGGAATGTTCCGATATCGCGAAGGTTCCCTTTCTTGGAGAGCGTGCTTCAAAAGAGAACGAGAAACAGATCTATCAAGATGTTTTTGGACAAAACAGTAAATATCTCTATTTCTTCAGGTATCATGCTCAAGTGATCAGATGATTTGTCAGCAGTTTTACCAGAAAGAGGTTCAGATCTACACCTCCGAGTTCGTGCTCTCCGCAGCACTAACCCAACAAGCTGACTTCGACAGTAACAAGCTGTTTGTTCAGGATTACAGGCCAGAGGAGAACAGTGGTGGAAGCTAGATCACCATAGCACGTGACATTATATAGATGTATCACCTGACTTGAAACACGTGATTATGATTTAGTTCACGTGACGTTCAGTTTAGTCACGAGATCATGATGATTCTGATCGACTTTGATTGTTTTCTCGCATCATCACGGGTTGTTTTTACTTTGCAGTAGAGAAAGAACGGTAGACATTTTTACAGAAAATAGTAATTGAGTTCAGTTTGTTGGCCAACTGAAATAGCTTAGTTGGTAAATCTAAATTATTGTTTTATCATTACAGGCAGGCCTGTGTCATGCTTTTTTTGATAATATTATTAATCGTGTTTTAACTTTGAAAAACCTCCGAAATTTCACGCTTATTTACAGGGGACAAACAATGACTATTTTTCTTATCTATTTTCTTGTATTTCCCCATTCTTCATTTATTCGTGATCGAGTGAGAATTGAAAAATTCTATTATATGTCTTTGTTAATATAATAATATATTTGTGTATTTGATTATTTTATATACCTTATCTTACTTCTAAAGCATGGTAAGCAAAACGAATAGATAGAAGCTCCCTTCCACGCCACAACATTTCGAAATATTTTGAAACTTAATAAGAAACCGGCGTCCTCAGCAAGAACATCCTCAAATAAAACGACCCGCACAATCCCACCAGTTGAACTCCAACAAGCACAATCGTCAGCGCTCCTATCACATTTAAATTACCCTTGAAAAAGTCGATCAGAGCAGCTTGGCATCCCTTTGTATAAACAGCATCTTCTGACGGTTCCTTCACAGCCAGCCCCTTCCCACAGTTCATAGAAACCTTCAGCCTCTCACAGCAGCTGTCTGGTACATCTTTAGAGCGGGTTTTGATCCAGTAAGTTGCAAACCTGTAGTACTTCTGGTCGCTCCAATCCAGGGGACCCTTAGAGAGTCCACAGCACTGGAGCTCCTTTTGTACAAAATCTATTGGTTCAGTGGCTATAGCAAGCGAGTTGGGCTCTGCGTACAAAGCAAACTTCTCCTTGGCTGAATTAGTAATTTGATTCTCGAGCTCCTCTTGAAATACGAATATGGTGATAGCTAGTCCGGATTGGAGTAGGACTAGCAGAAGGAGACATATAAAGTAGGAAAGTAGCAGAGAAGTGGACTCGTTTGTTGCCCCGCAGCAGCCAATGAAACCAACAATCGTCACCACTAGCCCCATGAATATCAATGTGTAGCTGAAATATTGCGGTTGTGAAATGTAAGTCACTCCAACTTTAATTACAACATTTAAGTCACTCCAACTTTAATTACAACATTTAAACAAAATTTAAACAAAATTCTAGCCATTTCATTAATTGTATTGAATGTGAATTATTTCCCACTGAGTCTTACCTACGTGTTGTTCTCATGTCTTAACTTAATAGATAGTTTACATAGTATATAAGTGTGTTTATATTGATAGTATGTTATCACGATAGCAAACAGGATGTCTCTTTCATCGAGATATAATCCATATGAATGCACAAAGTGGAAATGTGGCAAATGTGTTCTCCTGTCATGGAAGGAGGCTATGACGAAGGTCAAGGTAAGTCGAAGCACATGACTTAAATGTGTGTCTCCAAAGCTTTCTGTCCGCCATAAGCTCCTTAATCTCCCCAGTTTTCTTGAGTCCAGTGTCACTTATTAGGTTATCGACGAAGGTGAGCGGTGGTCTGCCCCTCCCTAGGTTCCCAAAGGAGAAGTTGGTGTGCTGCCAGGTCATCATGTTGCTAGATGTGCCCAGCCAACCTCATTATTCTGGCCTGTATCTTCGAAATACCTCTTGGGAGTGATCCAAAGACCTCCTTGTTGGTGCGATGTTCTCTCCAGTCCACGTTTAGGGCCATCCGAAGCATTCTACTGTAACATCCGTCTATTCTTTTCTTCAGAGATTCTGTTACTGTCCACGTTTGCGTTCCATACAGGAAGATTGATTCAACCGTAGCTTGAACAGACGGATCTTTAAATCTCGGCGCAAATTGGACCTCCATATAGCCTACATTTTGTGGTAGTTAGCCCATGCCTTGGCCTTGCGTAACCTAAAGTTGTGCTCCGTTGTACTAAAATCCTCAACTTCTTCTAAGGCATGTCCGTCTGTGTTCTAAGGATATGTTGGTTGGCATGGGCAAATCAAACCGTTCCCTCGAGCTTGATGCACTCTGCAAAAGTTTGATCCCTGTAACAGTTGCCCATTCTCGCAACAAGCTTGTTATACCGCATCCGAAAGCAGAGAAACTATATAGAGGTAAAGATACTTCAATCCCAAGATTGTTACAAGCTATGAAGAAGGGAGTCTCAAGGGGTAGAGAGCTCCTTCAAGAACACTGTAACTTTGAAGGAGAGGCTTTCCAACCATCTTCTGACGGAACAGAGAGTGACGAAGCGGAAACAGATGATGAAAAAGATGAAGTGGAGGATATTGACTCATCAGAGGAATGGGCGAAAATAGTAACTGTGTATGGTGATGCTCTGCATCATGATACAGCTGTTGAGGTTTGCCTCAATGGAAGGCGAGATCGAATGCCATCCCAGTCAAGATTTTAGCGACTCCAGGGCCATAAACAAGCGAAGATATCACTTAATATCACATGTGATCATGCAGCTGATGGTAACTGCAAGATTCTTTCAGTTGGAGATATAGCATGGTTTCTCGTTAAGCGGATGATCAGGAAAACGGAAACAGAGATCGTGAAGGTGAGAAGAAAGGCTTTATTCCTCTCGTACCGGTTGCGGTCAGGGTTGGGGTCATCAGTGAGTTGCGTCCCTACTAACTCAATTTGCCATGGCCATCGAAGTGAGCATTACATATGGCTGATATCATATCTGGATGGCCAACTTCTTCTGAGCACATCAGTGAATAAAATACTGCTTTTGGGTGAAATTTAAGCGATTATATCTATTGTGATGTTGTAGTGATGAACCACAACAGTGATGTTGTACTGATAATTGTTTTGCTAGGTGCCTACATGATTTTATTTCCTTCAAATGAAAAATTTGTAAAAAACCCAAAAAAACCCAACTCCTACCCTGAAAAAGGTCATACTGGGATTGGGTTTTTTTGGGTTTTTTTGGGTTACACCCCCCCCCCCCCCCCCCCCCCCCCCCCCCCCAACATTTAACTCATAACTGAACGAATCATTCAAAATCTAGAAACATGTTTTAACTCACAGAAATCAGTTCTACTGAAAGGAATTAGCTGCAAACCTTATCGAGAGAGTTTTTCCTCCAAACCAAGTTTCGTAAGAATTAGCTGATGTAGCAAGATAAACGCCAAAACCCAGCAGTATCATACCGCAAAACTGTAAATGAACTTGGTCATACAGAAAGTCTATAGAAAACTTAATTTAAAATGAACTCCGTTATATAACTATAAGCAAACCTCAACACGCTAAAGTCACTCAAGTCACTCACTATAATCATTGCTTACTATAGAACGGCCCATCCCTGGTACATCCCCATAAATCATCGTATAGTTGTTTTTTACACATACGTAGCTAAGTTTTTCGTGAATTCACAACATTTTACTCACAGACATGAGGAAAACTGAAGGAGAATAGTATCCACTTTGTACACATTCCATTAAGGTCGAGATGATAGTGAGCAAATACTCTCGGAGAATCTATAAACTCCAGCTTGATCCCACCCTGGAGGAGGAAGTCGATCAATTTGTTGTTGAAATATCATAAAATTGTATTGGTACGTGTTTTCTGTAAACGTTAGGGACCGTTTATATATTACTGGAGGGGGTAAAAACTGTCCAAAAAGTGATTACGTCATATGATTATGTGAACGACCCCTAAACGTTAAATGAATTAATGGAGCATCTAATTAATGGGAGATCTCATACACTTACTGCCGGAACTCACCTTGCTTATGACACCCATGGCCTCAATTAGTCTTGTGGTTGCTTTCTATAGCTTCTAGACTTTTTGCTACTATCATAAATAACTTTGATTATCTATGAGATATCTATGTATTTCATTAAAGAGCAACAGTACACAGCAATCTTGGATACTAAATTGTAGTATGTTTCAAATTCTCTCAACTATCGATAAAAATTTGGATTAAATGACAGCAGTAAAAGTAATTATTCGTAGAGATAAATTCAATGGTACTTAGTATTACGAAAACAGCAATATTAAAATTGAATTATTAAAATCGAATTATATTTAAATTGAATTAATTGCCCGAATGTCAGGCATACACCCTATATATTATTTTAAGTGCCTGGTCACAATTCGCAATTGACCACATACCACAAGTAAACATTACATATATAAACATATGTAAACAATAAACATATATAAACATATTATATATAAACATATGTAAACATTTATATTTATAATACTAATAGCAATAGCAAACTTCTACAGCGCTTTTTTGTTCAATATATGCTTAACCAAAGTTCCTATCTAACCTAACTAGTAATTAATTAGTTGTTAAATAATTTCTGACCTTCCTCTCAAGAAAGCAATAACAGGGTATACTTCACTTCCATTCAGGTTATGATGCCTCATATCAAATTAAGAATTGGTTGATGATTCCAGCGCAGCACCAGTAATGGATATTTATGGTAGTTCTCAGTTACAGTAGCTGGATGTCTATTTTTATATTCAGTACCTCAGTGATCAGTTATCACGATGTACAAACACAGCCCTGCAAGTTGAACCCCAACTAGCACAATAGTCAGCGCTCCCATTACATTAAAATTACCCCTGAAAAAGTCAATCAGAACAGTTTGACATCCCTTCGTGTATACAGCCCCCTTCTTCGGATCCCTCACAGCCATTCCCTTCCCACAGTTGCTGGACACTTTCAATCCAGCACAACAGCTGTCCGGCACATCTTCAGACCGGGTTCTTATCCAGTAATTTGCAAACCTGTCACTTTCATCACTCCAATCAAAAGGTCCATTTGAGAGTCCACAACACCGCAGCTCTTTCTGTACAAAGTCTATCGGATCAGTGGCTATCCTAGACGCATTAGGGTTTCCGTACAACCTAAATTTATCTCTAGCCGAATATGTTATCTGTTCCTCCAACTCCTCTTGGAATACGAATATGGTGATAGCTAGTCCGGTTTGAAGTAGTACTAGCATGAGGACGGATACAAAGAAGGCCATGAGTAGAGATGTAGATTCGTTTGTAGCTCCGATGTACCCGGTAAACCCAACAACGGTCACTACTAGCCCCATAAATATCAAGGTGTAGCTGAAAGGTTTGTTCGCGGTCACGTGACGGTGACGTTTCAGTTATATAATTTAAGTGAACTATGTAAATTGTAAGTTACATAATAATAATTTAATTGAAAGGGAACTGTTTCAACTAGCGAACCTTATTGAGAGAGTTTTTCCTCCAAACCAAGTTTCGTAAGAATTAGCTGATGTAGCAAGATAAACGCCAAAACCAAACAGTATCATACCGCAAAACTGTAAATAAACTTGGTCAGACAAACACGTGTATAAGAAAACATAATTCGTATCACAGTCTACTTAAAAACTCAGGTTCTTTAAATTTCACGACGAATTACTCACCGACATGATGAAACTGAGAGAAAAGCATATCCACTTAGTCCACGTCCCATTAAGATCCAAGTTGTAGTGAGGATTTATCAACTCCAGCTTTAGCCCACCCTAGGGAAGGGAGAATTATAAATCAACTAATATATTAGCAGTGCTGTACAATATGTTTTAGTTAAAATACGTTAGTTTATCACAGATAAAATGTATAAATTGACGTATTTAAATTACGGACAAATGTGCAATATCTGAATTTGTTAACTTACCCTACTTATGACACCCATCTCGTGTTGATGCTTCTGACAAATATCTGCCTTTTCGCTACAAAAATAGATTAATTATAGCAGGATCGAGTGACTATGTTTCATAAGACATGAACGATAGCAAATTAAGAATGAATTAGATCATGTTGATATTAAATTGAATTTCGATAAGCATTTTTAATTTGGCACAAATTACTTGTCAGATAATTGAAACAAAAGCAACGTTATATTCAATAAGTCATAAAAATAAATTGACGCCTTAAAGGTACATAGCAATCTGCAATAAAACAGTAGCAATTTTTTAATTGAATATTTTGTAAGAACAAAGAACGATCCTTCATTTTCAGTGCCTACTCACAATTCGCATCACCAGTGACAAGTTACCTGGGGACCTCAGCTGCTATTACAAGTGGAAATTTCATTTGTCAAAAAAATTAGAGCCATTTACATTCTACATACTATTTTCAACTCACCCTGTATATTTATGTTCATAATCGCCGAATAGAGATTCGGCGGAATAACAGGCTGAGCACGTCCCAGTAAGTGACAAGTGATTCGTGTAATCGTTGCAAGATTACTGTTTTTGTAGTCAATGGTGATGTAAGTGTGCCATGTACTAAATTCTAAAAGCCAAGTTTTAATCTGAATTCTGCACCAAACTAACAAGGACACATTCCTGAGTCCCTGACGGTGCCAACATGAACAAGTAAGCAATAACGGCCAACGGGGTACAGGTCATATCCGTTTTAGTTTTAATGCTGTTCTCATCGACTCCAGTGTTGATGTGTGAATTGACTGGTGAACTGTCTACAGCCAGCAGGTCTGATATCTTAAGATGCAAACTCTAAAACACGTACATAGCTGCTAATTGATGATTCCAGCATCAGTAGTTTATTAATTGCAGCCTTGCCCAGCGGATTATAACCTAGTCGGTACTATTAATAAAAATGATGTAAATTGTTAACACTAATTATTGTTCAGTAACCGTGAAGTATAGCTCTTCGTAACATGAAGGATCCACATAACCCAAACAGCTGAAATATGAAATAATAAATTACGACAATTTTGCAAGATGAACTTATCAAATTTTAAACTATTTAATGAGCTAATTACGGATAATTGTCTTATCTATTCAAACTTAGTGTTGTTTATAGCTTTTTTATTGAAACTAAATGAAGGATTAAGTTAACCTCTAAAAAAGCGACAGCAACCCCCAAACCGCCGATTAGAAGCAAGTTGTCTGTTAGAGAGTCGTATAACGCAGTTTCACAACCCTGGGTTAAATATTATGGGTTAAATATTATGGGTTAAATATTATGGGTTAAATATTGTGGGTTAAATATTGTGGGTTAAATATTGTGGGTTAAATATTGTGGGTTAAATATTGTGGGTTAAATATTGTGGGTTAAATATTATGGGTTAAATATTGTGGGTTAAATATTATGGGTTAAATATTATGGGTTAAATATTGTGGATTAAATATTATGGGTTAAATATTGTGGGTTAAATATTGTGGGTTAAATATTATGGGTTAAAAATTATGGGTTAAATATTGTGGATTAAATATTATGGGTTAAATATTGTGGGTTAAATATTGTGGGTTAAATATTATGGGTTAAATATTATGGGTTAAATATTATGGGTTAAATATTGTGGGTTAAATATTATGGGTTAAATATCATGGGTTAAATATTTTTGGTCAGGTATTCGAATTTTAGGTCATTTAATTCTATACCTCAGCCGTGAAATTCTGGCCGTTAAAATCTTGAAATTACAATAGCAAATAGAAATACACTGCAAATAAAAGCTCGAAATAGATAGAGGCTAGCTTTTTCGCTGCTGTGATATAAATTGGTATACATTTGTCGACATAGTTAACACAAACTTGACAATTCACAAATTTCAATATATCTTCTCTCTTTTATAAAAGTTGCTCTTAAAACAAACCTTGGTATGAACAAGTGCTGGATCAGGAGTCGCTTTAGCCTCGTTTTTACCACAATTAACAGTCTCCTTAACACAACAGGAATCAGGCACGTCATTATCATGAGTCCTGATCCAGTAGGTAGCTTTGTTTCTGGAGGCAGCCCACTCAACTGGTCCTGTCAGGATGCCGCAGCAGTCTAACTGTCAGGTGTACGGGTTTAGGGTTTGTGAGGATGGTTTTGGGTGATATTTTAATTATTTTGCATCTAATATTATGTGTACCTTATGTCAGTGTCATTGTAGATGTGACTGCAGGGAACCAACTATATTGTGCCTCTGCGCTACTTTAGTTTTGTTTCATAACCTACACGTCATAGCATTGTTTAGGCTTGTTAAAAGTTGAAATTTTACTAACCCCTTTCTGCACTACATCGATAGGTTTAGTAGCAATATCACTCTTAGTAGGATCTCCATACTCTCCTAGCTTAGTTACGGCTGCCTCTGTGATCTGTGTCTTTACCTGGTAGGGTACTATTAGGACTTGTTTACTGGTGAGGAGGTGTGGTTGGTTTTTATATTTCAAAAGAAGATAATTAAGGACACCCTCCTGCTAACAGTCAATTTAATTGACATGTCAGAAAATAACAGTCAGATAACTGAAGTAAGAGTGAACAAAAGTTATGAAAACCATTAATTTGCATTTTGTAAGAAGGGCATTGAATATGCAACTCACATCATCTTTGAATACTAGGATAGTGACAATACCAGCTATCTGGATCATGAACAGCATTAACACAAACACGAAATACTGAAAATACAATTGTTATTCTCCGCAGTTCTCATGACAATAGTACCGACTAAGTTTCATATTTCATAAACTACAATTACACTTACAGAGATTGCAACCTACCCGGCCACACTAAACCTGTTTTAGCGAGTATAGACTATAGAATACTTACTGTACAAAGAGTATTGCTTGCGGAGTAATAGCTTTAAATGCTCTCACTTTCATCCTCAAAGTTAAAAATGTTTTTAACTCCATCCCACTCTCTATACCCAAAACTATCCCGGATGATACACCAACCACTAACCAGGTTGGTTAAATCTTATGGTCAGATCATGAAACGGCAGGGCCATGGTTCTCAAGTGTCAAGTGTCAAGGTATGACATGGGCAATATCAATTGTAAGTCCAATGTTAGCATCTACAAGCGGCTGAAATACTAGTAATCATAATGATCATGTACTAATCTTGCATGAAATAGTTTGCCTTCATCACCTTTAAGTTTTATTATACAGGGTGGCCCAAAAGTGACTACCCACACGCAACCTCTTAATAACTAACGTAATTCGTCTCCAAATTGCACCAAAATTTCAGAGATTGTAGATATAGGTCAAACTTAGATTTCCTGAAAGTTTCGTAAGCCACGCCCAATTACAGTGGGCGTGGCGTGACACTCCTTCTTTTTCACTATTTTCTTCATAAAATGAGAACGCTTTAAGCTAAGAACTCCAAATTTGTTGCAGACATTTGGCTTGATAATTTAAAACCTTTCTCAAAGTCTCAAGTTCATTGTTCAAAATTTGGCTGAGTTATGACCATTTCAAAATTCATCGGATACGTGATCCGAGCACTCAGTCAGTGATCTCTGCACTCAATCAGTGATCTCGTCACCCAATCTGATCAAGAGTAAGGCGTTAGCGTGTATTAATGAGGTTCATTAGGCTTTACCAAACATACTGAGGAGATGACAACCTGATCATGATTGATTGGATACTGATAATGACATTGCTAGACAGTAAAACACCAAATTCTTCGTAACCAATAGTAAGATACCCAACTGGGCCTCTTCGACACGTTGTACAATAAAAAATATAAGTTATAATAACGTCATTAAGCCAAAACTCAAAAGTTCGGTTAGTTTTAAAAGATGAGTTTGACGAACAATGACGGTGAAAATCATCCCGCAACGAAAAAATTTATGAGTAAGACACCATTGATTTGTAGTGACACGTGAGATTTTATTTATTTATTCCACTGCACACCGAAATGTTTAACCAGAGCTCTTTCACATATTTTACATCAACAATATTAATAATCATAACGTCATTGAGCCAAAACTCAAAAGTCCGGTTAGTTTTACAACCTAATTTGGTCGAACAATAACGTTCTTAATGACTAATGTTAGTCCACGTACACGAACGGTATTGAGGAGTTTTAACATCTTTGAAAAGGAAAGTAGAAAGTTAGAAATACAGATCTGCCACATCATATCGACTAGGTAATTCCTCATTTTAAATATTATGTCAGTTCTAGTCATCACGCACAGATAAATTACAGACGTGTATGGTAACTACTCTCTGATAGTATGCGTAATACTGAAGTACTGATATCAACTTAGACAAGGGCTCAAAGTGCTCCTTAGTCCCATTACGTAGTCGGTATTCCTTATCGGACATTATAATTGTCACGGACAAGTTCAAAGTTT